TGTGTTTTTTGAAAACCAACGTCACTGCACCCATTTACCAATACATTTTGGAGCACTTCATGCTTCCTTCTGCTGACCAGCTTTTTGAATATGCTGATTTCATTTTCCAGCAGGATTTGGCACCTGCCCACACTGCCAAAAGCACCAAAAGTTGGTTAAATGACCATGGTGTTGGTGTGCTTGACTGGCCAGCAAACTCACCAGACCTGAACCCCATAGAGAATCTTTTGTCAAGAGGAAAATGAGAAACAAGAGACCAAAAGATGCAGATGAGCTGAAGGCCACTGTCAAAGAAACCTGGGCTTCCATACCACCTCAGCAGTGCCACAAACTGATCACCTCCATGCCACGCCGAATTGAGGCAGTAATTAAAGCAAAAGGAGCCCCTACCAAGTATTGAGTACATGTACAGTAAATGAACATACTTTCCAGAAGGACAACAATTCACTAAAAATGTTTTTTTTATTGGTCCTATGAAGTATTCTAATTTGTTGAGATAGTGAATTGGTGGGTTTTTGTTAAATGTGAGCCAAAATCATCACAATTAAAAGAACCAAAGACTTAAACTACTTCAGTCTGTGTGCACTGAATTTATTTAATACACGAGTTTCACAATTTGAGTTGAATTACTGAAATAAATGAACTTTTCCATGATAATTTATTGAGATGCACCTATACAAGAGTAATATATTTCTGTTACATGTTAAACCGTACTTTTATTTTGACAGGTTGCCATGAAGTTTCTGTGTGTATACAGTATGATAATGCTAGTTTTCTCAAATTACACAGTAAAATTCTCGCGAAGTGACTCACAGCAGCTCTGGAGTTTGTTTTTGTGTTCATGCCGTCATATAGTGAGACGCAGAGGCCGAAAATCACCGTGAGTGTCACGCGTGCTTCAGTATTTGTGTAGTAAACAAAACCGCGTTTCCGCCATTCATACATACAGAGGCAAGCGGAACATGCAGGATTCATATTTAAACCGTCTTTTTGCATTTTAATATTCACAGACACTAGTTCATATCGCGATTCGAATTAAGTGGCAGTGGCTACTTTTGATTTATTTGTCCAAAATTGACAAATTCCGTGGCATTCCGCGCTTTAGAGTAAATTACATTTTTATGAATGGACTCCGTGATCCCATCCGTGTTTTCGCATAAACCATATGGCTCTAGAAATGTAACCACACTTCACAACATTTCGGCTTGCCCTGTGTGTTGTTTGAACGAGTTACAGGGGTGACATCATGTCACAGAGTCTCTCTTTCTCTCTCTCAGAAATTTGGCACGATTGATTTAACGTGGATCGGTACTCGGTAGTACCGACGCAATTCGGTCGGTACCCTTAAAAGTACAGAGTTTCGGTACCCAACCCTACACACCAGTGCCATTTTTTTATTTTATTAAAGGAATAATTCACCCACGTGAATAAATTAGCACCGAATTTTCTTTTCTTTTTTTATTTTTGATGGGGGTGTAATTGTTTTTCTTACCATATAAAAACCCTCAGAGGTTTTTATATGAAATACTCTATGAATGCTCTAAATATGCTAGAAACGTAGCAAGGACATCAGCGTTGTTTACGTTCAGCATGTGCGCAATTACGTTCTGGGGTACTCTCCAAAATGATGGAAGACGGTAACTCGGGGCGAAGAATTGTTGGATAAATTATGTTGTTATTGTTTTCTTTGCGCACAAAAAGTATTCTCGTAGCTTCGTAAAATTACGGTTGAACCACTGATGTCACATGGTCTATTTTACCGATGTCCTTGCTAGGTTTCTGGGTCTGGGAACATTGCAGTTGCATTGCTGTCTATGGCAGGGTCAGAGAGCTTAAATCTTAATTTGTGTTCCGAAGATGAACAAAGGTCTTACGGGTTTGGAACGTTTTTTGGGTGAACTAACCCTTTAAGTTCTTAAAATGTGCCCTTATGCGTAAACATGCACAAAGTACATACATGGAATCAATTTTAATGGCATGTTTGCTTTTAATGTGTTCTCTGCAGAAAAGACAGTTGGCCTCCCAGAGTCTTGCATTCAACATCAAGGACAAAGTCTTTTGTGAACTGTTTCCAGATGTTGTTGAAGTAAGTACCGTGTCAGACTTCCTCACATATGTATGCATGAGCAGTAAACACATTCTTTTAACAAATATCAAATATGTTAATACTTGACCCAATTTGCCTCCCCCCCTCCCCCTTTAAACAGGAAATCAAGCAGAAGCAGCGTATGCAGGAGGAGCTCAGGTCCCGCTCACAAGCGCTGCCCCTCCCTGACGTGGTGCCGGACGGCGAAGCCCACCATGCGCAAAACGGGCACCTGCCCATGAACGGGCACCTGCCCCCTGGCGCGGTCCAACCACCTGACCTCCAGCAGGTCAACCGAAACCATGGACTCCTGGGCGGAGCGCTCGCTAATTTGTTCGTCATCGTAGGTTTCGCCGCTTTCGCCTACACGGTCAAGTACGTTCTGCGGAGCATCGCACAGGAATGAATCGCCCAATGAGAAACGCCGACGGGAGGGACTAAAGGCTGGTGCTGTTCTCACGACCAAAATAGGTAGCGAGAAATCAAAAGGGTTTTCTCACAACCAAATAAAATGAAGCAGTGTCCCGTTAATGAAATTGAGAGCTTGGTGATTTCCTCCGTAGTGGCGACAACCAGATCTTGTGTAACACGGCCACTTAAAGGTCAAGGTCACGTGAAATGATGGCTTTATTAACATGTAAGGAAATTTTAAAACAAGCTAATTTTCTACCTTACCCAATTCCCAGAAGAAGACAACGTCATGTGACCGTGAAATGAATCCGAGTGGGCTTTTTTTTAAAAGCCTGAATCAACAGTTTTTCACATTTCTCAATAAACTGTAAGATTTTAGAATCTGTGCATATAGGTGAGTTTTTATGTGAAAGATTAAAAGAGAAAAAGGCCCATCATTCCTTAAAAACAGCAACAACAGAATAAAATGCATTTCTGAAGTGTGAGGCACCATTTATTGCTGTGACGAAAATCCCTGACTATTTTAGTTGATGGAAATGGCTCAACTGTAAATGCGCTTTACCAATGGAGATTTGTTCTTAAATGCATTTGTGCTTGCTTACGCTACACCAACCGTAACAACCAGTTAGGCCAGGAAAGAAGCGGTGTAAAATTAATTATTTGTCTCTTGTTTGTCTGTGATGCAGCGCTCCAAGTGTTCATTAACTTTCTTTCGGAGGGGGTCACAGTCGGCCAAAAGAAAAGCATATGAACTCGGTTTTTTTTCCAGGCCATGTAACACTAAATTGTTTTTGTGCAATATGTAGGATTGTCAGCACTACTTTGCTTTCACGATACACAGCACTTCTTTTCTTTTCAAGGGTTGTGATTTATGCAATAATTCTTAATAAATTTAAATATAAACATAGGCAGGCAAATATGCATTACATTCTTACCTTTCCTGTTGTACTGTAAGATCTTTGGTTGTGCTCATTAGGACAAGTATTTTGAGTTGCACAAATAATTCACAACAAAGACTTACAAATCTAAGGCTAGATTGCTGAGACCTACATGCACTGCGAAACATCTCTTTCTGAGTCAGAATGGTCGTGTCGCTGCTCATTCGGATTTGGAAGGAATTAATGCTCTCTTTGTACCAGTATACTCTGGTCTCCCCCAAAGTGTTTGGATGTCCCAAATACTAGCAGTAATGCTTTTTTCAGCACCTCCATGAACACTGTTGATTGATATCCTTTCCTTTAGAGGGGCGTGTAATCCGAGGTAGTCATGTTGTGTTTACATTTTGAATAAATAATATTCTGTTAAAGAAAGCGGTCCTTCGTGTGTTATTCAAATTCAGTTCTTGCCATTTGACAAAACAGTGATTCAATATCAACAAATTCTGTTAAAATACCCAGAGACAAAACACTTCTTAACCTCATGCCTCATGTTACTATATACATTATAGACATGTTATTCACAACCACTAAGATGTAATTGCATTTGAACACTCCCCAAGTCCCTTAAAATGGAAAAAAATATGCATTAAAATGGCCATACACATGCAAATTCTATCACATAAAAATCATCCATATTCGTAGTTACTGCTGATAACAGTCTTGGACGTATGTGTATGTATATTTTCTGGAAATGTAATGAAAAATTACCATGAGGTATCTAATTTTATATTTATTCCATGCTAATATCAATGTGTTTTTTGAAGAACCTTGCTATATGCACAATACGCCAAAAAAATGTTAGTAACAACATGGTGCATTAAACATCATTTTACATCATGGTTTCCCAAACTGTGGTTCGTGAGTTTAATGAAAAGCAAAAGCAATAAAAAAGTAACTGTAGTCTGATCAATAGTATTTTAAAATGTAATATAATCTAATTACAAGTACTTAATTTTTGGAATCTGATTGCAATGTAATCGGTTACTGTTTGTACATGCATGTATCATCATTCATGCATATCTTACATGCATTATGAAACTTATGTAGATATGAGCGTTTTAACTGAAAATCTTTTATATACCCATATTGCAGGTTTTATGACTAGTTAAACATAAAAAAGTAGTCAAATAGACGAAACATCTTGCGTTATAAAAAACAGCAATATATTTTAGTTTATGCATGTAAAATTTTTTAATAAAACACAGAAATGGAAAACAATATGCTTTTAATGCTGCATCGAACTGTGCCGCAGCTACATGTCATCATGACTAACAAGTCTAGATTGCTGATTTATGCACCACGTGACCCGCGTCCGGCCAATCAGCGCTCGATCTCACACCCCGGAAATGGAGTCCGTTTAATGTCCTACATTCCTCTCCAGGTCTCAGTCATAATTCTGTGCGCTGTCCTTGCAGAATATTAATGTGTAACGATGGTGTTGACGGTGCATTGGACTCTGTTTAACAATATTAGACACCCGGAAGCTTGTTGGCTCGAGTAAAGCGACGTTTTTACGGAGGGACCTTTCTATAAAAAAGAGAAAACGATGAGGCCTAATAGGAGAGATGAGGAACAAGTTTCAAGCTGAGGAATTCAACACACAGCAGGTGAGCTGTAAATATTTTACACTGCATAAAGACAGTTAATGTGAGGATTTCTGAAGCGTGTTGCATGTATGACAGCACGCCAGGTTGTATTTCCGCAGCCAGCGAACTATTTGACACGACAGTCTCGGTGTGTGTTGACTCAGTCAACTTGACTGGTAATGTAAGTACATGTCAGTGCATGTTTGACTGTCACAATGAAAGTTGAATAGTTTGTTTGTGAAACATTTGTCGCCGCCACACCTCTTTTTTATCACACAGTAGCAACCATTGCCATGACAACCCCTCCCAATTAACTAGCTACAGCCATTTCTATAGCAACCACCCTGGCTCACCTAGCTAGAGCGGTTGCTAGGGCAACGGACGTTTGTTTTGTTCTTGGCTTTGTCTGGATGTCTTAAAGGGGTCATATGATGCTTTTTTAAAGATCATTTTTCAAATACTGTACATTATTGTAGGTCCTCTATGCCCCGCCTCTCTCAAACTCTTCGTTTTCTACAAAGTCCCTCCTTAATCTATTTCGAAGTTTGCTATTAATCATCAATCAAGTGCTTGATACAGATCTATTTAAATGTAATGAACTCAATCCTGTCCGATTAAAGGTGGGCATCCTCAGCCGTCTGAGCACAGAGAATGCAGACGAGTTCAACTTTGTGCGCTCTTACGAGTGCTTCCAGCACAAAAACCACACGTGTCTGGTGTTTGAGATGCTGGAGCAGAACCTCTACGACTTCCTCAAGCACAGCAAGTTCAGCCCACTGCTCCTCAAGTGTATCCGGCCGGTCCTGCAGCAGGTTGCCACGGCGCTGCTGAAGCTGAAGAGTTTGGGTCTCATCCACGCTGATCTGAAGCCTGAAAACATCATGCTGGTGGACCCCATCAGACAGCCCTACAGAGTCAAAGTCATTGACTTCGGTTCAGCGAGTCACATCTCGAAGGCGGTGTGCTCAACCTACCTGCAGTCTAGATACTACCGGTAAGGGATATTTGATGTCAAAAGGAATGGACAAGTGGTTGTACATTTACATTTGTGCATTTAGAATCTAAAGCAACTTAGTGCATCCAAGTTACATTTTACTAAGCGGCGTAAGAATGTACATACATGCTAAACAAATAAAAGCAAATGCAAGATAATTATACTAATGTTACAGGCATGAATTTATATAAATTCATATTGATATGATACTACTATGTGCATAAAAACTATTAAACTCCCTTAAACCCTAATATTGAGTTTACATTTAGATATAGGCATTTGGCTAGTTTTAGGGTTTTATTTGAATATAATGAGAAATAGTCACAATTGTGAAACATTCAATCGCTACTTTGAGAAATAGCCACAATTGACCTATCAGTAAGCCCCTTCCCTCGAACGCAGATGAGCCAATGGCAGTCGAGTATCAGTTGCACGTAGGGTTGGGGTATTTTTCACTGCACGTGAAAAATAATTTCCCGACTGAGAAAATGCTCGCGAACTCAAGTCGGAAATCTCTAATAATACAAATCCAACACATCTTTGTAGTAACGAGAGTGTCCATGTTGTTTTCACATTCCGACTTAAGCACAACTCTGGAAATGAGAGCATTCGAGGAGCGCGTGAATGCAGTAATTACACTTGCTCTGACGGCAGCAGGTAGCCTTCCGTTAACTAAGCTAAACCTGCTTAAATTAAAATGCCTAAAGTTAAACCTCCCTTGTATTCACATTTCTAAACCTGTTGTCCAACAAAAGAGAAAATTATAACCTTTTTACTCCACAACATTTTCGTGTCCACTCCTTTAAACATTCTAATATTGTATATAATTTTGGTGCATCATGGAGCCGCTTTCAGGATGCGGTGTATTTAAATATTTTTGAATGAGCGCTTGCACTGTTTACTTTTGATTTCGCAATCACTCACACTCTGTGTAAAGGGAGCACATCTTACAAGATCAGATATTTGTCAATGAGCGTCTCGCCCGACTGGAACAGTGCTTTACATTTCCGGTCTCTGGTGTTTCTAGTCACATTTACATATTTTCCGAGCCGACAATATAATGTAAAACCTATAAAAATGGTTTTTAAAAAAAGCACATGGCGCCCTAGTTTCATCACTTTACAGTGTCGCAATGACCGTCTTTTTGCAGTAAAGGACCTGCCTGTCATAGTTTGATGAGTAGGAAGCTGCATTAAAAACAGATAAACGCACATGTACGTATACTGTTCCCGATCGGGGTGAAGTTCACTGGATTTTGTTCACAGAATGATAAGAGCACACATTTTAACATATTATTTTATTATTTAATTAACACTCAGTATTTTAACTTAAGCGATGCAAGCCATGCATACAGTGCCGGAACATTGGCAGATTTTCTGGTACACAAAACAAATATTTTAAAGGAATTCCTTAGCTTATTGCCATTACTGTGGCAGCCAACAACAGCACAGCTTAGCCCTGCGCTCATTTTTATATGCTCCCGCGATTTTCGTGTCCACTCCTTTAAACATTCTAATATTGTATATAATTTTGGCGCATCAGGGAGCTGTTCTCAGGATGCGGTGTATTTAAATATTTTTGAATGAGCGCTTGCACTGTTTACTTTTGATTTCGCAATCACTCACACTCTGTGTAAAGGGAGCACATCTTACAAGATCAGATATTTGTCAATGAGCTCAGGATCTGTTGAGCAGCAAATACTCCAGTATGGTCTTGTCAGTCATCTCTCCTTATTCTCGAACTGTGATCAGTCAAAGACTCCTGCAGCTCTTGTTGGATGTAGGGTTGCCAAGTCCGTGTTTTTTCCACAGAATTGGGCTACTTTTAAAATGTTGCCATGGGTTGATTTTCCCAAGTGGGTTGAAGGTTTGAAATATTGCATAAATTACATTTGACTGAAATGCTTGTATTGAAACATTTTGCATTCTACCTATGATAAAACTTTCATGGACTTCAACATTAACTGTTCCCTCCTGGTGGAATGAGCTGCCCAGCTCAATCCAAACTTGCGAACAATCGCTATTACAAGAAATAGTTGCATATGTGAGATATGCAATAGCTATTATTAAAAATATTTGCAGTTGTAAAATATAGTCATTATTATGAGATATAGTCACAGTTATGAGATATGCAGTCGCTGTAATGGTGAGATATACAATAACTATTTGCCAGAAATAGTTGCAATTGTAAGATATACAGTCGCAATTACGAAAAATAATCCCAATTACAAGATATGAAGTTGCATTTGTGAGGTGCTAAGTTGCAATTGTGAGATACACAGTCACAATTACTAGTATTAATCACAATTGAAGGATGTACATTAAATAAAAATTGCACATACAGGAAGTACAGTTTTACAGTTTGAGGTGGAAACAGACTTCTGTAGCAAATACTTATAATTAATATCGGACTGATGCAGTGATAAATGTAATGCATCTATTTCGAAGTTTGCTATTAATCATCAATCAAGTGCTTGATACAGATCTATTTAAATGTAATGAACTCAATCCTGTCCGATTAAAGGTGGGCATCCTCAGCCGTCTGAGCACAGAGAATGCAGACGAGTTCAACTTTGTGCGCTCTTACGAGTGCTTCCAGCACAAAAACCACACGTGTCTGGTGTTTGAGATGCTGGAGCAGAACCTCTACGACTTCCTCAAGCACAGCAAGTTCAGCCCACTGCTCCTCAAGTGTATCCGGCCGGTCCTGCAGCAGGTTGCCACGGCGCTGCTGAAGCTGAAGAGTTTGGGTCTCATCCACGCTGATCTGAAGCCTGAAAACATCATGCTGGTGGACCCCATCAGACAGCCCTACAGAGTCAAAGTCATTGACTTCGGTTCAGCGAGTCACATCTCGAAGGCGGTGTGCTCAACCTACCTGCAGTCTAGATACTACCGGTAAGGGATATTTGATGTCAAAAGGAATGGACAAGTGGTTGTACATTTACATTTGTGCATTTAGAATCTAAAGCAACTTGGTGCATCCAAGTTACATTTTACTAAGCGGCGTAAGAATGTACATACATGCTAAACAAATAAAAGCAAATGCAAGATAATTATACTAATGTTACAGGCATGAATTTATATAAATTCATATTGATATGATACTACTATGTGCATAAAAACTATTAAACTCCCTTAAACCCTAATATTGAGTTTACATTTAGATATAGGCATTTGGCTAGTTTTAGGGTTTTATTTGAATATAATGAGAAATAGTCACAATTGTGAAACATTCAATCGCTACTTTGAGAAATAGCCACAATTGACCTATCAGTAAGCCCCTTCCCTCGAACGCAGATGAGCCAATGGCAGTCGAGTATCAGTTGCACGTAGGGTTGGGGTATTTTTCACTGCACGTGAAAAATAATTTCCCGACTGAGAAAATGCTCGCGAACTCAAGTCGGAAATCTCTAATAATACAAATCCAACACATCTTTGTAGTAACGAGAGTGTCCATGTTGTTTTCACATTCCGACTTAAGCACAACTCTGGAAATGAGAGCATTCGAGGAGCGCGTGAATGCAGTAATTACACTTGCTCTGACGGCAGCAGGTAGCCTTCCGTTAACTAAGCTAAACCTGCTTAAATTAAAATGCCTAAAGTTAAACCTCCCTTGTATTCACATTTCTAAACCTGTTGTCCAACAAAAGAGAAAATTATAACCTTTTTACTCCACAACATTTTCATGTCCACTCCTTTAAACATTCTAATATTGTATATAATTTTGGTGCATCATGGAGCCGCTTTCAGGATGCGGTGTATTTAAATATTTTTGAATGAGCGCTTGCACTGTTTACTTTTAATCACTCACTCACTCACACTCTGTGTAAAGGGAGCACATCTTACAAGATCAGATATTTGTCAATGAGCTCAGGATCTGTAAATACTCCAATACTCCAGTATGGTCTTGTCAGTCATCTCTCCTTATTCTCGAACTGTGATCAGTCAAAGACTCCTGCAGCTCTTGTTGGATGTAGGGTTGCCAAGTCCGTGTTTTTTCCACAGAATTGGGCTACTTTTAAAATGTTGCCATGGGTTGATTTTCCCAAGTGGGTTGAAGGTTTGAAATATTGCATAAATTACATTTGACTGAAATGCTTGTATTGAAACATTTTGCATTCTACCTATGATAAAACTTTCATGGACTTCAACATTAACTGTTCCCTCCTGGTGGAATGAGCTGCCCAGCTCAATCCAAACTGCTGAGTCCTTAATATTTTCAAGAAACGGCTGAAAACACATCTTTCATCTTCATTTGACCCTCTAACTCTAGCACTCTCTATTCTAATGCTACTTCTAATTTTATCTGCTTGTTTTTTTTTATTAAAAAACTTGCCACTTTAACATTTGCACTCTCTATTCTAACTACTTGTTTTATTTATAAAGAAAAAAGAGCCTTTAACACTAGCATTCTCTATTCTTTCCACTTATTTTCTTTTTATTTATTATAAATAATGACCTTCTAACACTAGCATTATCTGTTCTTTTTCTGTTCTATTGAATTTTTATTTTTATTTAAAAAATGACCCTCTAACACTTGCATTCCCTATTCCTTTTCTATTCTTTCTACTTGTTTTCTTTTTATTTATTATAAAAACAAAATAAGCAAACAAACACAAAAAAAACCTCGCTACGTATACTGTTAGGTGAAGCCCCGCCCATGAACCCCGCCCCCTACTGTCCTTTTTTTGGAAAACTAAAATATGGTCACCCTATTATAAACATACTTAATTATTATGAAAATACCAGAGATGGCTTAAATAACACAGATAAACTATATTGTCGCAATCGAGTGTTTATTGTCTTTGTTTTATCATTCAAAATGTTTATATGTTCTGTTTACTCAGTTACAGATATAATCGCTATGCCTTTGCCCATATAAGGGATTTCCTGGAGGGTCATGAGTTCTCTACTTCGGTGACTGGATATGTGGATTTTCTGTGCGAGGGCGCCCTCTGCCGTCCAGTATGAATGAAACAGACATCATGTGTTTATAGTGCTAATGGCCAATCCATAATTTTTTGGGGGGAAGTTTTATTTATTTACTTTTAGTTTAAGTATCGGTTTAAGCACCGGAACCGTTTTAAAAGTATCGATTTGGCACCAGTATCGAAAAAAAACCAAACAATACCCAACCCTAGTTGCACGGGGAGCAGAACTCGGACATCTTTAGGTTTCAGCACCATAGAGAAACATTGGAGGATCTGAAGTTTGCATCAGTTTTATGGTGTTTATGCTGCAAAAATGGAAAAACAATGTGCCTGGGGTACTTGTAACACTGATTCCAGGTATGCTGAGAGGATAGGCAATAGAATTGATTTTATTACATTTCCTAAACCCAAACAAAACAGAGCAAAATGTCCCTAAGCATTCAACCCCAATCCCAATGAAGACAAAAACGTTAATTTTCTTGTTGTCATACTCTCATTAAGTTACCATTTTAATCTGCTCAAGCAGAACGTTAATGTCATCTTGTGTTTCAGCAAGGTATCTCTGGCTAAAACTAAAGTTAAAGTTAGTGAGTCAATGTTGTCGGTACAAACCTAAATAGCGGACTGTTTTCACATCATGTACAGTGTAGGTCAAAAACACATAAATGAAGGTCTACATTTCAGTGCCTCTCCATATGAAAATGGTTAAATGTTAATTAATTTAATCGTACCCTGCGATACATGAACGGTGTTGATCCTGCGTGTTGTCATCCGCGATTGTGACGGCCGTAATATAAGACTTCTCCCGCTTGCATTGTGATCTGTGAACCCTCGCGTCGAGTTACCCCCACCATATTTATTTTAAAATCTTTTATATATCCCTCCATGGAATATTTCATTCCCACTTGAATGGTGGCCTTTCTGTGTCCAAAATTGTTCAAAAACATCGTGGGACAAGGTTTTCACACTGACTGCTGTCATTGTAAGAGAGTGAGCAGCTCCATTTTTTTGTCCGAGGGAGCAACAGTAACTAAGGGGGGCGGGGCTTACCGATAGGTCAATTGTGAGACATACAAGTAACTATTACGAGAAATAGTCGCAATTGTGAAACATTTAATCGCTATTACGAGAAATAGTCGCAATTGTGAAACATTCAAACGCTATTACGCTATTAAGAAAACGACTTATTTTCGTTCTCAAAAATCATAATATTTCTTCAATTTAGTTTTTAAATATTAAATAAAAATGTGTTTTAGTACTTTTTGGTAATTACACAAATTTAAAAAAATCTGCATTTGATGATAATTTTAAAATGACCAAATATCCATATACAGTATATGTCTGTCACTAAATAATGAATTCACATGTCTTCATCCCTAAATAATTTGTTTACTGTAAATCATATATATATTTTATTACATACTGGTAAAAGATGTATAACCTGAGTGCACGCTAAGTCGCTTTGGATAAAAGTGTCTGCTAAATGCATAAGTGAAGTTATATATCTCCCTACCTGTAATTCTCCCAATCTAATACACCTTATAAAAATATTTGCCAGTGAAATGAAGCTAATTTATTTATTAATGTGTTGTAATTTGCCTGTTGTGGTGTAGAGCTCCTGAGATCATTCTGGGCCTTCCTTTCTGTGAGGCCATTGACATGTGGTCACTGGGTTGTGTCATTGCTGAACTGTTTCTGGGCTGGCCTTTGTATCCAGGAGCCTCAGAATATGATCAGGTCAGTAATGAGGTTTTGTTTGCTTAAATTTAATCAGTTCTGTGCTAAATCAATTAGTTTTATTCCAAATTCAATTGAGAAGGCTATTAATAGATTTGGAAAGCAACACAAGGGGTCGCTAACACTTATGATGAAGAGTCGTGCCAGTACCGGTAATCTTAAAACTGACAATACTGGCAGAAATATTTGTTTATTACTAGTAAATAATCATATACAGCAAATACAGACTAGTTACCTTTCTCTGCATATACTACTTGGCTACAAGCATCTGTCCATCTGTGAAAAATGGGAGTGTAATCTACATTTAATGTATATCTCTACAGATTCGGTACATTTCCCAGACTCAAGGTTTGCCAGCTGAGTATCTCTTAAGCGCCGGCACTAAAACCAGCCGTTTCTTCCACAGAGGCCCAGACTCCAGCTACCCTCTCTGGAGACTCAAGGCATGTCCCACTTAAAGCACTGCTGTGTATTTTATGTTCAAAGGCATCAGCGGTCAATTCATGATTGAACGCTTTCCTCACTGATGTTTTTCTTTTTTTAGACTCGCGCAGAGCACGAGGCAGAGTTTGGGATAAAGTCCAAAGAGGCTCGCAAATACATTTTCAACTGCCTTGATGACATGATGCAGGTAGTGCTATATGTTCAGTAATTTGTCAAAAACTCACTTATGTGTATATATATATATATATATACACACACACACACTTTTATTCAGAAAGGATGAAATCTTTTTTTAAAGAAATTTATATTTTTATTTATAAGGAAAAAATGGAAAACTACAATAAATTTAATTTTGAAATATATTCAAAAAGAGAAAGATTTATTTTAAATCTAATAATATTAAACAATATTGCTGTTTTTACAAAATTTTTGATCAAAGAAATGCAGCCTTGGTGAGCATAAGAGACTTCAGACTTCATTTAAAAATGACTTCTTTTGTGATTGGATAAGCAAGGTGTTGAATATTAAATAGGCACTGATTGGTTATCCAATCATAAAAGAGGTAATTTACATATTAAATTCATGGTACAGTTGCAAAACAGCCTGTTAGTTTCTGAATGTCAGAGTAAGTAAATGAGCATGTAAAACTTAATTATGATTGAAACCTTGACTAACTTAATGAATAAACATATACCAGGCTTGGCTCAGCAGAGTGTGCCATTGCAGGCTCGCCCTACTCAGCTGTGTGCCCAGACAGAGCCCTTCCAGCAAACCCTCATTGTGTGCCCTCCTACCATCCAGGGTGAGCCTGTACCTGACCCTACCTCTCTGTCCAAACCCACTTCTCCCTACACCATTCCTTTAGACTCACACCACTTCCGAATGCATGAACTGAATCACTCCTGTTTGATTCCCCAGGGCTGCAGACCTCCAATAAACATGCTGGATATCCAGTGAGAATGGATAACTCTGTTCCCATAGTGCCCCAGAACCAGTCCACCCAGCCTCTACACATTCAGCCCAGCATGCTCACACAGGTAGGCATCATGTTTGTGTGTTATCTGTTTCTCCTCCTACACTGTTTTATATGATCCTTGTTTCTCTGTTCTTGTGATTTCCTCCCTGTTTTTTTTTTTTCCTAAATCACCTTTTTACTCATTAGGGCCTTTCACACCGCGCGAACCTTTTCATAGTACCAGAACTAATTGTGGAACTACCCACTTTTGGTAGTGCAGGCACTTGTAGTAAATGTAGCACTGCCAGTTGTCGTTGGAGATTCTTAGTCCTCCTTTCCGTTCTTTCAATCACTTTACGTATACGTCGACTTTCCATGTCCATTATTGTGAAACCCGCGAGACACAGCTCCGATCACAGTGTCCTCTATCCTCCTGTTGTTAATGTTGTTCTTCTTTGTTTCTGTTGTTGAACGCCGCGCACAAATGATGACTCTGTCGACCGGCTTACGTCACTTCTTAGTACACACTGTCGGTGCAAATGCAACCCTTTAAATGGTACTGGGAAATAGTTCGCGCAAAATCGTCTCAGTACTTTAGTACTGTACATTTAGTTCTGGAACTAAAGCGGTGCGAAAGGCCCAATTAATGTGCTGCAAGAATTACAGTGAAGACTAAAAACAAAAGAGGTAGTTGTTTTAAATCCTTTTTAGTCTGTGTCTCAGAGCGGGTGTAACATGAAGTGTAAACAGCCTTTTTCCAGGAAAATATCATCATCAGCTGGCATTTACGTTAAATATAATTAAAACAGGATCATTTCACATGCACACTGCATTTAACAAACGTCAACATTTCTGTAATCTGATCTGTTGAAGTTATAGTTTTTGTTTGCACTGCTTACCATTCATAAGTTTGGGGTTGGTAAGAAATGTTAAATGTTTTTAATAGAAGTCTCTTATGCTCACCAAAGCTGCATTTGTTTGATCAATAATACAATAAAAACAGGAATATTGTGAAATATTATTACAATTTAAAATAACTTTTATATCTGTGATGGCAAAGCTGTTTTCAGTGTCACACGATCCTTCAGAAATCATTCTAATATGCTGATTTGCTCCTCAAGCAACGTTTCTAATTATTATCAGTGTTTTTTTCAGGATTTTTTTGATGAATAGAAAGTCTAAAAGAACAGCATTTATTTGAAATATTTTGTGACTACAAATATCTCTGCTGTCACTTTTTATAAATTTAAAGGGTTACTCCACCCCTAAATGAAAATTTTGTCATTAATCACTTACCCCCATTTCGTTCCAAACCCATGAAAGCTTAGTTCATCTTCGGAACACAATTTAAGATATTTTGGATGAAAACCGGTGTTGTGTTGAAGTTTGTTCCCCCTATGTTTCCCCTTTGTTTAGTGTTCCCGTTCCCGCATACAGAGCACGCGCATGTGCTTGTTCCAGGTTGTGGCTATAAGAGATACAGCAAAAACCGGAAGCTAACAATAAATTGAATTTTCTACCTATTAGATTGTGTTTTATTAACGTCTACACCTACCCTAACCCTAAACCTACCCCTTACAATAATGCAAAAATAGTAATTATTGTTGTACAGTGTGAGTGTGTATATAAAATATATAATACAATAATATTTTATGCTGTGCTTTTGGAGGTATGTGGTACCTATTTACTGCTAAATTATTCAACTACATCATTAGCTTGCATATCTATTATGTTTTCATATAAAACAATCACTTAAATGATGATCAAATTTAAAATGTCAAATTTGAGTTGTATTAGTGCACAGGAACAGTGGAACGAGCACACGCTGCTTGTGTAGCGGGAATGCTAAACTAAGGGGAAACATAGGGGGAACAGACTTCGACACAACACCGGGAGGCTTGTGACTGTCCCATTAACTACCTAGTAAATTACACTGTCAAGGTCCAGAAAAGTATGAAAGACATTGTCAGAATAGTCCATCTGCCATCAATGGTTCAACCGTAACGTTATGAAGCGACGAGAATACTTTTTGTATGCGAAGAAAACAGAGGAAACGAATTGTTGAATAAAGTCGTTATTTTTGTGTCTCTCTGCATCACCGTAGCGCCATTTTGGAGAATATCCGCTGGACACAAGCAGCGTACGCTCTTCTGTGTCAACCACGCTGCACGGATGCGCTGTTTTCATTCAAATCAAAGCGTAAATACACGTAGAAAACGTATCCTTGTGTCGCGGCTGACACAGAATAGCGTACGCAGTTTGCGTTCAGCGGATATTCTCCAAAATGGCCCTATGGTGATGCGGAGAGACACCGAGAAGACAAATTGTTGAATAAAGTCAGTATTTTTGTTTTCTTCACCTACAAAAAGTATTCTCGTCGCGTCATAATGTTACGGTTGAACCGCTGGTGGCAGATGGATTATTCTGACGATGTCTTTCATACTTTTCTGGGCCTTGACAGTGTTATTTACTTGGCAGTCAATGGGACAGTCACAAGCCTCCCGATTTTCATCCAAAATATCTTAAATTGTGTTCCGAAGACGAACGAAGCTTTTACGGGATTGGAACGACATGGGGGTAAGTGATTAATGACTGTGATTAATGGGGTGGAGTAACCCTTTAATGCATCCTTGCTGAATGAAAGTATCCATTTCTTTCAAAAATAAAATACTGAACCCAACTTGCTGACCCCAAACAGTAGTGTATTATCAGCCAAAATGTTTGTCTTGTTTAGCTTTACATGACAATGAATCAGAAGGACAAGTCAAAGGCAGGCATTTATTCCATTTTTAATATGTGACTTTGGAAGACCTCTGAAAGAAAAGGGTGAGATTTCAACAAAAACAGTCAAGTTGTTAAAATCAGGTTTTTACGAGGCGGCTAGTGAGTCGCTGTCTTTACTGTCAAATGATATTGATCTGTTTTGTATTTGACATAATTTTTCTTCATTTTGTACAATGATGATGGTGGTGGAAAGTCTTGGCGAGTTACTTTCTCCGTCAGCTCAGCCAGCGTGTTGTAACCGTTCCACCCTTTCCTCCATCCTCAGTTCCTCCACACATCCCTCTATCCCTTCCCCAACCAGAGCAGCAGCACGCCGCTGACGGTGGCCTCCCTGGCTCTTCCAGTGGCCTTGGGCTCTCGGCGTCTGGAGCAGAGTGCCACCATGCTGGTAAACCTGCGCCCTGCAGTGTGACAACTACTTCCTCTTCTTTTTCCTCTTTTTCTTTTACCTTCTTTGCATGTTGCATTTCTAGGCCAAACTTCTGAATTGAATGAGATAATAAGATAGTGTACCAAACAGCTATTGCCAAGAAAATGTTTTTTTCTATTGAGTTGTTTTCATGGGCTGCATGCAAAAACAATACTATGTGACCAGTGTAGTGTAATTCACAACAAATGACTCTTATGAGCTAGTTCTTCTAGATTGTTAAAAAAGAAAGAAATGAAATGCGTGGTGTTTTCCGCCAACTGGCAACCCGGGGTGCCGAAATACAGTTGGGTAAACTGGCAGTGGGCGGGTTTCACAAACCAAAACATTCCGGCCCGGAACGCACATTTTCAAAGGAGAATAACTGAATGCAGCATTGTTTTTCAGATAAACAAGTATGTTAACTTGGCATGTTTCTTAAATATCTGCAAATATATTATGGTATTTTTATGCTTTAGTAGAGTCAAAAACTTACAAACAGCACCTTTAAATAATAATAATGCAGTTTTTATAAGTGCTGTTTTAATTTAATATGAATAATTTAGATAAAAATTAGATTAGAAATTAAAATAAAAACAAAATATAATTTATTAAAAAAATTACAGATATGTGTATATATAGAAGCATTCATGTGCATTTGTGTACATGCACAGACTACAGTTCTGAACGAAAGTGTCACAGGTACCTAATGTAAATTCTGTGCACATTGCTGTTACTCTGTGATGTTACGAAGGCTGCTGTGATTTGAAGCTATCAAATGAATTGATGTGATTTGCTATTTGCCCTTATTTCTTTAGGAGTTTTATGGTGGAAAGTGGCTGTTTTAGATTTGTTTTTTTCTTTCTTCACCTATCAATCATGATTTAACAAGGCGTTTTTCTCTTGGACTCGTGCTGCATCTCTTCTGGGCCCCAGGGCTCTATCCAGTGAAGCATGGCTGCTTGACTCTATGCAATCCAAATGATTTCTCTTTCCACAGACCCACTCCTGTGGCAACAAATGTCTCCCCGTTGACTCATTCTCCTTTTTTCCTTCCACTGCTAACCAGTCCTTTCCTCTCTATGCAGATAAATTGGACTTGTGTTGCTTTGGTAATCACTTGAGTTTGTTATTGTTTTCTTATGTATTTTGCATCTATTCTTCTCTTTATGAAAGGCTGATCTGCTCAAACTCTATCATGATTTTCTGACTCCCATTTCCCCTTTAAGCATGAAAGATTCACGATTAGTCAAGCAACATAATTGAGATGAAAATTGAAATTGACTTTCTCACTGTGTTGTTTTGTTTTAATGAAGTTCTGCATGATTTTAAGAGCTTGTAGGACAGGATCTGCTTTTCATGTATGACAGGAAGAGATCGAACACAGACAGACGAGCGTCGCCACGCTGAATGTGCTCATTATGCATCTGTCAATCAAAGTGCATTAATGTTTTAAGGCCTGTTTACACCAGGATTCACCGCAAAAAGGAACTATATGAAAAGCAATTGTTGACAAAATGGGAGTGTGTGTATTGCATATGTATACTATACCTGCCCAGCACCATTTTATTACAAAAGCCTTGCTATTATTGATACAAGTTCTCCTGTATTGTCATAATTCAGTTTCTTCAATCACAGTTCGCCTGTTTGGACATTAATGCTCTGGAGTGTTTTTCGAGTGTAAACAGGCCTTGTTGCCCCACATTAATAGAAAGGAAAATAGATTTGAGTTTCTGACAAAATGGTTTTGTTCAGTTGTCATTTTGTATGTGTTTTAGCAGGGCTGGCCAGCAGGGACCCAGCAGATCCTCATTCCCTCTTCATGGCAGCAGATGTCAGGCATGACCATGAACAATCCCAGCCAGCCTGTGCTTTCCAACTCACCCATAGGCTCTCTGCTCTCGGACAACACCACACAGCAGAACAGTAGCTGGAGGTCAGAAACGCCCCTACAGCAGTTTACACTTGCCGTTTTAAACTTCAGGTTCTGTTGCAAACCTGGATTCATTCAACCATCAAGTCTTACTATGGTGCTGTGTTCGAGTATGAATGCATCTGGGGTTTGCGTTAAAGGTGAATCTCACAAAACCTGTCAAAAGTATCACCTCAAAATAATATAATTATTTTAAAATAATGTGGTTAATTGCAGTTCTTTCATGATTTAACGGGAGGGGGCAATTAATTTTTCACGTAGGGCCATGTAGGTTTGGACAGCTTTTTTCCCTTAATAAATGAAATCATCATTTAAAAACTGCATTTTGTATTTACTTGCATTATCTTTGTGTAATATTTAAATTTGTTTGATGATTTGAAACATTAAAGTGTGACAAACATGCAAAAAAAAAAAGAAATCAGGAAGGGGGCCAACACTTTTTCACACCACTGTATATATTAGGGGTGTAACGGTACGCGTATCGTGTACCGAACGGTTCACGGGTAAATTCCAAATGGAAGAGATCATCCCTATCCCCTTGGAGTGGAGACTTCGGAGTGAGCAGGGCACGTGTGTGCCATTATGTAGTCGTTTGGAATACACTTGACAAAAATCATAGCCTTATGATTTTTTGCTCAGAAATTCTGTGTTGTGTATTTCCATTTTTAAGGCATAAAATATTCGTTTAATCTATCTTTTAAGTAATGAAAATTAAACAAATTTTATTTTTTGGAAAATAAAGGTCATTTAATATTACAATTAAAACATTGAAGAAATATTGTATGATTATTCCTTAAAAATAAGGTTTTAATAATTTTAGTAGTAATGGCAGACTATTACGTACATTCTACTGAACAATAGTAATATATTTCTGCCTCAATCAATGTCTTCAAGTTAAACCGAACTTTTATTTTGACTGGCTGCCATGAATACCTTTACATGTCTGTGTGTATATGATATGATGATAGTTTTACTCAAATGAACGGTCAAATTCTCACGAAGTGTCTCTCAGAGCAGTTCTGGAGATGTTGTTCATGTATTTATGTCCTCATTAGTGAGACAGCAGACGCTAAAATCGCCGCAAGCGTCACGCGCGATTCAGTACAAGTGGTAAACAAAACCGCGCGTCTGCGCCATTCATTAACACAGAGACACGAAGAATTCATATTTAAATAGTCGTTTATTTTTGCCCCCCTAATATAATGGCAGGGGAAACACTGATATATATATATATATATATATATATATTTATATATATAGGGCTGGGACAATAAATCGCGAATCGAGAAATGATTCTGCATCGATTCTGAGATTTTCTGAAAGCACCGCGATTCTCTCTTGAATCGATTCTGAGCTTAGTTTTTAACAGCAGATGGCACTGCATGCTTTAGAAATAGCCGTATTCTGCTTGCTTCCAGTTCCTTACACACGCACCACTTGAACCTAAAATAATCATTCATAAAGTTCGAAAAGGTTGAAGTGAATTACAAGGATGTTCACAGTGGGCTGTGTTTCCATTATTCTCGCATCATAAAAGCATAAAAGCCGATGTGCAAGTACATTTAACCACTTATATTACTCAGCCGAATGCACAAGCGTTCTTCTTCGTGAGCATTTGAGTGTGTGGTTAAAAACTAGTTCTGCTTAAAAACTAAGCTCAGAATCGATTCGAGAGAGAATCGCGATCCATTCCGAAAATCTCAGAATCGATCCACGAATCTCAATGCATCGATTTATTGTAAAAGCCCTAATATATATTAATTTTTTATTTATTTATGGTAATATGTGTATTTATTACCGGTATTTGTGTGTATGTGTTTATAAAAATAATAATAGTAGTAGTAATAAATATATTAGTATTATATAGCAATTCATTACTAATTTAGTTATTATAATTATTATGTAATTATTGTAGTTATTGTGTTTGTATTGTTTATATTATTGTTATTATTATTATTATTATTATAAGTCAGCTCAAAATAGAAGGAAAACATATTAATAATATTGTTTCAAAATAAATAAACTACATTAAGTCTATTTTTCTATATATTCTAAATAATATTATTATTATTATTATCATATAACAATGAATTACAGGTACTGGTGTTATAATAATTAATATGATATAATTATTATAGTTAGTGTTTTTATGATTATTGTTTATTATTATTATTAGTCAGCTCAAAATAGGAAAAAAATAAATAATGTTGTTTTAATTAAAAATAAATAAATTGAATTATGAAACAATTAATAATTACTAACTGTGTTATTATTATTAATATTATTATATAACAATCAATCACAGGTACTGGTGTTATAATAATAAATATGATTTAATTATTGTAGTTAGGGTTTTTATAATTATTGTTTATTATTATTAGTCAGCTCAAAATAGGAAACAATAAATAATATTGTTTTAATTAAAAATAAATAAATTATTTATTATTATGAATTATTATTATATAACAATTAATAATTACTAATTGTGTTGTTGTTGTTATTATTATTATTATTATTATTTATTATTATTATTACAGGGCTCCAGACTGCGACCAATTTTTTTTCTGCCGGTGCAACAAAATTTTGTGAGTGGTCACATTGGTGCGACCACCGTGTTACCCAACTCATAACCACTGCCATTTCTGTTGCGTACGAGAAACATCAAACGGCAAACAAAAATAAAAGCATAATGAAACCCTTTATCAGCTCAAAACAATTATTGAGTTCACCGCAAGCACAACTATTTCCAGCACTTTTAAAGCTCTAAAAATGACCCAATTTAAATGTTGTTTTTAATGAGATGACCAAAATATACACTAAAAAAAGACATCAAATTACCACTGTATCCAGTAGATGGCAGCAGAGGAGCACTTACTGACTATTAGTCATTTATTTCTACTTTTTTTGCTTTATATTTTGAGATTATAAAATTTTGGTATAAAATATCAAATCATCAATAAATAAATTTTTTTCAAAGTTTTGCACTTTTCATGTATGAAGAAAAGTCACAAAGGGCCTTGAAAAACAAAACTTTGTTCAAACCTTTGTTCTTTATGCGACTGAATCACGCATAAAGTAAAGAGTGCTCCTTTTATAATCACTGAAGTGATTGTCGATCAGTTCGGTATAATACTATAAAAAGAATAAAAGTACATTTAATGATATTGGTATAATGGTATTTTTTTCATATAAAAATGTAATTTTGCACGTTACTGTTACTACTAATAAAAGTAAATTTTGTATGATTCCCAACTCCAACTCAGTGCTTTACTGTTAAATGTGCATTACCAAAAAATAAACGTGTAATAGTATTAGTAACTGCACTTGTTATTGCAAAACAATAGTATTTTTATAATTAAATTATCTTTAATATACCCCCTCCCTTTGCTTGATTCACATGTGCTTTGTTGTCTGATTACAGTGTTCAAAGCTTCCAGTGGTACTTATGTTGATGACAGAAAAGCATTTTGCAAATGTACTAAGTGTGAAAACAATTTAAAAGTAATGAACTTGAATATTGCACCCAGCTGTGCCCAAATGTATTTCCTCTTGTTAGCCAATAGAAATCGCTGCAGATTGACACTGGGACTTTGTTGCTGCTGATTATAATGTAGAACAACATGCTGCTGCCATGAAAACTGATTTTTTTACGAATTGCAAATAACTAATAACCAGTTACAATTCTCAAAACAGCATGCATTTAATACACTCTGCCAGGGGTCGACATGGAGGTCAGTGCGATGGGACGCAGCAGGGCTCTGTGCAGGGGCGTAACGTGAGCACACAGCCCTCCCACACAGGGGCAGCCAGCAGTCGAACACAGCAGAGTGGAGTGAAGAGGTCAAAGGGTCGACATGCCGAGAGCAAAGCCAGGTAACGCTGTTAATGAGTCTCAGGATGAGCAACCATCTTAAACAAGATAGTTTAAGACAGTTTATTAACACTGGATAGTGTTAAATAGATTGGAAAACATTGCATAATAAATTAGTTGATTTCAAGTCAAACTGTCCAAAATATGGTACTGTGTACTCGATTAAAATCTGTTTTCTGTCACAGACCCACGTCGTCCCAGCAGCCGGCTCCTTCAGTAGCGCACAGCTGCGGTGATGCGTCTCAGCCCATCATCATCTCTGACACACCCAGCCCCGCCGTCAGTATCATCACCATCCACAGCGACACTGAGGACGAGGACGACAGGAAGTTTCCTCCTGAAAGGTGCAACATCACTTTCACATCCCAATAGGGGTGTAACGGTACACGTATTCGTACCGTATGGTTCACGGGGCAAATTCCAAATGGAAGTGATCATCCCTATGCCTTTGAAGGGCAGAGCCCTTGGAGTGGAGACTTTGGAGTGAGCAGGGCACGTGCGTGCCATTATGTAGTCGTTTGGAATACACTTGACAAAGGGAGCGATGTCATTTCCTCATTATCTTCTACACCCCTACATCCCAACCAAAACTCTTAGTGTAGTTACATTGTACGTGTTGTATATATGTGTGTGTATTTTTTTTGTCTATTTGCTACATTATTTAGTATTTTCCTTGTCGAAATATATCATCACATATTTGTTTTGTTCTTTTGCTATATTAGTATTTCTATGTATTCTTAAACTAAAAATACCTCAAATAAAAAAGTATGGTAATCTTAGTTTAGGGGGGAAAAAAAACAAACATATCAAAATAATTTTGCAATAATTTACATCGTCCCATAAAAATGTCTTAATGGCCCAGTGATGATCAAGATAATATTAATAAGCATAACATATGCTACTGTTCTAAAGTTTGAAAAAAATAATACAATTAAATGAATAAAATTCATTATTTTATTCAGTAAGGATGCATTCAATTGATGACAATAAAGACATTTATATAATGTTACACAAAATTTCTATTTCAAATAAATGCTGTTCTTTTGAACTTTCTATTCATCACAGAATCCTAATAAAAATGTATCATGGTTTCCACAAAAAGCTATTAAGCAGCACAACTGTTTTCAACATTGATAATGATAAGAAATGTTTCTTGAGCAGCAAACCAGAATATTAGAATGATTCCTGAAGGATCATGTGACACTGAAGACTGGAGTTATGATGCTGAAAATTCAGCTTTGCGTCACAAAAAATAAATTACATTAAAAAATATATTCAAATTAAAAAATGGATCTTTTAAATGGTTACAATATTTCAAAACAGTTTTTCCTGTATTTTTGATCAAAGAATGCCTTGGTAAACCTAAGAGACTTACTTCAGAGACATGATTTCAAATGGTTCTTCTCTTGTGTGGCAGCTGTAGTGTGAACCAGCGTACAAACGTCATCAGCTGTGTGACTCTGCATGACTCCCAGGACTCAGACTCCTCCACCAGCACCCCTCTCAGCCCCAAATGCCTTCCCAACTTCGTTGAGAACAACACACACTCCAAGTCTCTAGCCGTGGTCACGCCGTTGGTGAAAACACAGCTCTGGGATGGAGCGTCAGGAGGTCAGTGAGACTCATTCTGACTTCTAATCATCTAAATACTGAGCTTAAATGGGCCACATTCTGCACTACAGCTTTTTCCCTTCATGTCCCTTTCCCTTCCATTCATGATACACAAGGGTTGTTACATCAAAATGACCATTTTAGAATTAACCAGGATTTTTTTTGTTACTGTACCTTTTTATATGAAAATGACCTCTGTTATGATTGGTTCACCACTTTGGATATACATATGTTAGTGGTCATATGATAATGTCTTGGTTGTACAGATTTGACCCTTTAAGATCTTTTTTCTGTATTTGTAGAGCAAAGTACTAATAGTTCTGGGAAGTCAAAGAAAGGAACGGCCTCACAGTCCAGCGACCGGCAAAACAGATCTCAGCCTCTCAACCTGAGCCAGGTACATCTGTACAGGTCCACTCCGGTTATTAAAGACCACATGACATCAGAATTAAAGTTTGTGGCTTTTAGTCAATGTCTGTTAGCTTTGAGGTCATCTAAAGTCAAAGGTTTGGGTTAGTGTTTTTTTTTTTTTAAGAAATTCATATTTTTATTCAGAAAGGAGGCATTGATCAAATTAATACAAAGTGAGAGTAAAGACATTAATAATGTTACAAAAATTTCTATTTCAAATTCTATTTTTTTATATATATATATATATATCAGGTTGTTTTTTTTCCAACTGAGTCATCAAGTGATTCTTTATTCTTTTGATTCACTCTGTGATTCACTCAACAGGCGCAGCAATCAATGATGTCATCCCACGATCGTGCAGGGGGTGGATCCCTGAGACGCCAGCCCACCTACCCCCCTACAGGCCCCTCCAACTCCTACAGGCTTCACGAAGCATCTCTTTTCGGCTCCGCCTCCAGTCTGTACGCATACCCTGCATCTGCAGCCCTGGCCTCGGTGTCGCAGGCCATGGACCAGCTGCACAATTCGGCCGGTTCCTCCTGCTCCTCTTCCTCTGGCCGGCACACGCGCACCGCCGGGCCGTACTCGGCCTCTCTGAGCCTTCTGCAGAAGAACAGTGCCATGGGCGTCATGTGTCAGGCTTCAGCTCCGTACCAGCAACAGCAGCTGTCCACACCGTCCTACCAGCGCTCTGCGGCGTTTCCCCTCAGCCGGAGGAAACTCAACCAGTACCCGTACCTGTGAGGAGCAGCCGTCTGAACATGTGCGTTGATATATGGAAAACGCCAGGATGGTGTCATGGATGTTCACGTGGAAATGCCATTTTAGCTTTGTATATTTTATTTGAGTGTTTTATGTTCTTTTATGCATTTCAGTGGAGCACTTCTTGCATTTTCGATCATTTCAAACCATGTCATAAACACAAAACATTGGGCTGTTTCTTAAAATATCACTTGCAGAGAAGCCTCTGGATGTCCAAAAAAAAACAAACACCTTAAAACACATCAAACTTTGTGTTTGACTAGGGAAAGAAACATGGCTGTTCGGAATAGCATACCATCATACAACTCTTATGATTTCTGCAGTATACAGTATGCAGAGCTAAGATACTTGATTTTTCCAAAGCGACTTATTAATGAGAAATACAACAAAGTGATTCATACTGATGGTACAACAGAGCACAGTGTGTGGAATTATATATCCCACAATGCAACACACTCTACTTAAATTACTAGATCATTCATTGTGGTGATTGAGGCAACACATTTTTGTATATCTCTCTTGACTTCTTCGATTGAACTGCCAAAAATTAGGATTTATTTTAAAACAGTATAAAAATGTGTGAAACCACATTTATTGTTATTTATTATTACTTGTCACTGCAAAATCTGCTTATGCTTTTAGGTAAAAGCATTTTTTTTTAATTATTATTATTATTGTTATTAAGATTTAAATTTTTTATATTATTTTCTTTACAACTATACACCCTTTCCCCCATCTAATTCTTAATGCCATAATGCAAAAATCTCATTCTCATTACTTTAAGGTAAAATAATTACATATTATAATATGTCTTTTTATGTAAGCTGGTTTTAAAAACAGCTCAAATGAAAAAAAAAACTATTACTGTTATCATTTATTATTATTATTTTCATTACTTTTTTACTGGAAAATCTGCATGCATACTGCATAAAAAGTGCAAAACAATCTTTTCCCTTGCAGAACTCAATATGAATATAGTGTGGTCATGTGACAACAGTGTGGCATACTATTGTTAACATTTTTTATCATTGCATAATGCATTCTAACTTGCATAATTTTTTTTAAAGTGCAGTATGCTGAATGCAGTGTATACTGCACAGTGAGCAGTATGCTAGTATTCCATTCTGAACAAAGCCCATTTTGAACTGTCAAAATAGGCCACTTTTTTAAATCATGGAGGAATTTAATCTGATTTGATCTGGTATTTCGAGAATTATATTTCTTAAATATTTAAGCTGTCTTTGGGATGTGCGTCAGCAGACAAAGATATCTCCTAGAACAGCTCAAATTATATTTATAAACGTTTCATTGACGCCTGCCCAGTTATAAAAATGTGTTGAAATGATACACAAGTGATGTCTCTCTGACAACACTAAAGCATTCTGTTGGCAGACCCAAATTTTATATTTGGGATAGTTACGTTTGCAGCATATTTTTAAGTGTGGCAGCACAACGCAGGATGTCGTCACTGACTAGAAACTGAACAAGCCAAAATACCAGGAGAAAGTCAGCTAAATATGATACACAGCAGTTTATATATCAAATTTATGCTGACATGTATTCCTTGTTAAAAACAGTCTTGTTTACTCAGTCACAAAATAACCATAATTTTTTCATATATATGTTTAATAAGTGACATTTTATTTCCATATACATTTTTGTGACGGAGCTCTGTAGTTGCACCCTAAATAATCAAGGTTTTGCTTTCAATATAACTTTCATTGTGCTTTATTTATTTACTGAATATATGTGGACTTCTAATGATGTATGTAAAACCAAGAAATAATTATGCTTTCTTTTAAATCATTTTAATTGTCTTCAACTTTGTATAATTTTTTACATTGGTTTAAAAGTATCCTCTTATTCGACTAGCACTTATGTTTATTATTTGATTTGTATTTTATGTTTTCTCCATAAATTAAGAGTGAATTTGTCAGTGTGATTTGTCAGGATGGTTACTTGTCATTTGTTCTGTAATGTCGTCAGCACAACATGATGCGTCTAAATGACGATGGTGTGTGTGTGTGTGTGCGTGTGTGCACAGTGAAATCAGAGCAGGAACTCACAGATTATCAGACTATTTAGATAGTGCTTAAACAGATGGTTAACATGTTAGCTGTTCATCTCAGTTGATCTTAGAGCACTTAATGTGTCTTTCTGAGCTTGTCTTGTGAATGTTGCCGGGGTTCTTGGCTTTGGTGCAGTGATGGTTGTTTATACTGGTTTATCACCATGTGTGGAGTGCAGAGAAGATAACATCACAATAAACTTTCATCCAGAACACGGTGTGTGAGTCTGATAAATCTGAGGCTGCAGTAGTGATGAATGAAGCCGCTTACTACACTCGTAGCTGTGGCTTTATTTTTATCATCTCTATAAGGGGAATGTATTCTGGTGATAATCCATTGTCGCTGCCTTTTTTAGAGCCAGTTTGGCTTTTCTCCCACTGGTGCTATAAGAAATGATGCCTTTATGGACAGGTTGGGACTTGAGCTGTCCTCTGTGAATTGGACATCTATCCATCCATTCTCCAAACCACTCTTCAAACAGATCTCAGCTTCTCTCTCTCTCAAAAAAAAAAGATAGATCGATAGATAGGCAGACAGACAGATGGACATAGAAATGTAATGACTTCATATAATAATAATTAATCTTATTTTATCCATCCATTCTGCAGGCAATTAATCAAAATATATATTAAAAATGATAATATATTATAAATATGATTAATTTCTCACACACACATATAGATTATATAATCATATATATATATATAATTTATTTATTGAGATGTTAATCTATCAATATGTTAATATATATATATATATATTAGTGCTGTCAAACAATTAATTGCGATTAATCGCATCCAAAATAAGAGTTTTTGTATATTTATGTATATATAAATACACACACATACAGTGTATATTTAGAAAATATTTACATGTATATACATTTATATTCTTATATTTTATATTATATATAAATATATTTAATATATAAACAAAATTTTTCTTAAATATATACATGCATGTGTATTTGTAAATATACATAATAAATATACACAGTACACATATATTATGTAAACAAAAACTTATTTTGGATGCGATTAATCGCAATTAATTGTTTGACAGCACTAATATATATATATATATATATTAGTGCTGTCAAACAATTAATTGCGATTAATCGCATCCAAAATAAGAGTTTTTGTATATTTATGTATATATAAATACACACACATACAGTGTATATTTAGAAAATATTTACATGTATATACATTTATATTCTTATATTTTATATTATATATAAATATATTTAATATATAAACAAAATTTTTCTTAAATATATACATGCATGTGTATTTGTAAATATACATAATAAATATACACAGTACACATATATTATGTAAACAAAAACTTATTTTGGATGCGATTAATCGTGATTAATTGTTTGACAGCACTATATATAAATATATACACACTTATTTATTACACACCAGAGTGAGTGACGACTGGACTTCATATCAGCTTCCGAGTCATTGACACATCGACACATCCCACAAGGACACTGATAACACGCAGCCACAACAAGCACTGCTCATGGGCACCATCCTGGCTGAGCCCTGCCCACAGAGCTCATCACAGACAGACTGTGACGTATCAGACCAGCTCCAAGACTCAGCACCCAAGGACGACTTTCTGGAAAACAGCCAGGGAAGCCAGGACAACATATTTCAGCCACCAGAAACACCAGCGCCACAGCCCCTCTCACCAGACACATTATCCCTCTCTCCAGCATCTCCACTTCTAAGCTTCTCACAGAAAATGGAGGAACCGGTTTATGCTGGGACCAAACTTTCCCACTCTTTTGCTGCAAGCCCTCAGATATCAACTAAAAAACGGCGGGCCCCACAACCACCAAAGCCTGTGGGCCCAGCTCGTCTTCCTCCTCCAGTGAGAGCTCTCCGGCCGCTGCCACAACGCCAAGGCCCAAACCCTCCATCTGCTGTAGGTGAACCAAAAACAACTGATAACAGCTCTTTGAACAGCAACATTCACAAATGTTTACAGAGCAAGCGGGAACCCAGTGTGCCTGTAGTTTTCTCTATTTCTGTTTTATCACGTGATAGAAAGTCTAAGGCCTTCTCAAGCCGTATGGCTGACTCATCTAATCTGTGGCCTGTTATGCATCAAACTAATATTGCTGTTGAGACAAAATGCAATGCCATCAAGTTAACATTTTTAAACATTCGCTCACTAAAAAATAAATAATTTCTAATCAATGACTTAATAACCACTAACAACCTGGATTTTATGTTTCTTAACGAAACATGGCTAGAAGACAGCTGCAGTGCAACGGTCCTCAATGAAACAGCCCCTCCTAACTTCACTTTCATGAGTGTTTGCAGGACTGTTAGGAGAGGTGGAGGTGTAGCTGCTCTATTTAAAGATGTCTATCAATGCCAGCAAGTGACATTTGGTCAGTACTTGTCTTTTGTATATCTAAGGATTGTGTTGACTCTCCCACTCTTTTGCTGCAAGCCCCCAATTATCAACTAAAAAACGGCGGGCCCCACAACCACCAAAGCCTGTGGGCCCAGCTCGTCTTCCTCCTCCAGTGAGAGCTCTCCGGCCGCTGCCACAACGCCAAGGCCCAAACCCTCCATCTGTTGTAGGTGAACCAAAAACAACTGATAACAGCTCTTTGCACAGCAACATTCACAAATGTTTACAGAGCAAGCGGGAACCCAGTGTGCCTGTAGTTTTCTCTATTTCTGTTTTATCACGTGATAGAAAGTCTAAGGCCTTCTCAAGCCGTATGGCTGACTCATCTAATCTGTGGCCTGTTATGCATCAAACTAATATTGCTGTTGAGACAAAATGCAATGCCATCAAGTTAGCATTTTTAAACATTCGCTCACTAAAAAAATAATCATTTCTAAGACAGCTGCAGTGCCATGGGCCTCAATGAAACAGCCCCTCCTAACTTTACTTTCATGAGTGTTTGCAAGACTGTAAGGAGAGGTGGAGGTGTAGCTGCTCTATTTAAAGATGTCTATCAATGCCAGCAAGTGACATTTGGTCAGTACTTGTCTTTTGTATATCTAAGGATTGTGTTGAAAGGTGCTCCACGCATTCTGTTTATCATTAGTAATACTATCTGATCACTTCTGTATTTTCTTTGATATATTGATCTCTGTTACCACTGAATCTAGATCGGTCTCAGTCAGAAAGAGATGCATTAATGAAAACACTAGTGTGCTATTTATGGAGGCTATATCTTTAACACCAAGCATTTCTGCAGACTCTGGTGATCTTGTCCTTGATTCCTTTAACTTAAAAGTTAAGAATGTTATTGATGATATTGCTCCTGTAATAGTCAGTAAGAAGTCTGGCAGACAGAAATCAGCTTGGAGAAAATCAACAGCAGTTCAGAGTATGAAAAGACAATGCAGAAAAGATGAGCGGATGTGGTGGAAGACAAAACTTGACATTCACTATAGCATTTGTAAAGACAGCCTTCGTGCTTTGTGGAACTAGGCAAAGCTAGACAGTCATTCTTCTCAAACCTTATAAACAGTAACTTAAACAACACTCGCACTCTTTTTGCTACTGTTGAGAGACTGACAAACCCCCCAAATCA